ACAATGGTATGAGCACGTGCTGAGAAACCTGAGCATCACACAATGAGGAAAACGTTGGACTTCATTTACATGAGAAGCGACCACAGGAAGTCTCACCCTTCTCCCCGGCCAGGTAAATCTGATACCGTTCGCGCAGAACAGAAGATTTGGTTGGCCCAGGCGGGAGCCGATTCAGGGTTGCCTCCCGGGCCGCGCGTGCGAGGCCACTACACCACATTTGCCTCATGAAAGGTAATAGAGAGTGATAGTACAAGTACAGCCGATATAATGACAAATGTGGCGAGCACAATTAGAAACTCAGTAAAATGGAAAAAAAAAGAAAATGCAGAGTAGCAGGCCATTTAAAAACGGAATAGTTTAGTTCGCTGCGGACGAAGGGGCGTGTCGGGAGGGAATAGTTTGACCGGTGCTAACCCGCTCCCAGCCAGTTATAAGCAAGCAAGTGACAAGACTGTATCATAGCGTTCGTATAACTCTTTTTCTGCCAACTATTGTTGCATACCCGTTTCAACAACTAGCAGAAAACGGGTTTGGCGGCGGCTGTGGTACATTCGTCCTGCCCGGCACACCCCTTCATCAGCCGCGAACAAGACTGTAATTAACATTGGAAACAAAATTCAGTCTAAGTGAAATGAGCCGAAAAGCACTGTACCTGCCACCACCTATCCCAATCGAGCGGAATCACGAAGGCTCCTAGCCAAGCTCCTATCACTGCTCCGATAATGACTCGATGGGCTACTAGCTCGAAACGACTGGTACACCTGTAATAGGGCATTGCTCAGGTCCCAGAGACACTAGTGCATAAAGTTATTATCGAATGTCTTAGCTGCTTCTCGTACAGTCGGTAGCTCAGCTTAGTTCAAACTTATCACCTGCGATACGCTTCAGCGCTATTTCGGAGGGGGATGAGGCAAAGATGTAAATCTAGACGTTCAATTAACCCTAGCGTTCATCGAGATAAAAGTCGCTGCCAACTTAAGTTTCAGCTGGAGCATTTCCTAAGCCCAAAGCAACTAAGGAATTACGACTTTCACGGTCAACGCAATCAAAAATCTGAACTGCTTAGGAAAATGGAGGTACACAACACCTAGGACTCGAAGAGTCTACTGTACCATGAAATCAGTAATTAAATAAAACTTTTTATTCCTCATCCAAATGACTGGCTAAAACCCACACAAGAATGACCCTCGAGCTTATGAGCGATGCTGTCCCACGAGTACATGTATTGGATCCAAAAGCTCTCACAGCAGAAGCTTTGATAGCCTCAAAGAGAATCTTTGCGATTTCACATTGCGGAGAATAGCGTTACAAACTTGTGGTCATCAAGTGACTCTCCAGGGAAGAAAAAAGCAAAAGAAGTCATGCAGCACACCCTGAGTGGGGACCTGCCAGCCTCTTTGGACAAGTTCTCCGGACCGTTTTTTTTTGCCAAGGGAGCAATACCCTGGCCGCCTGTGGCGCGTTTATGCTAATATCATCCAACTATGAAACAAAACTAACAACAGCGGTCCAAAAACTGATGTGAGAGAAAGTAGCCATCGAGTTTCGGTGGGCGGTGCAACTAGAGAGGCGTCACAGCTGCAAGCGTCTATAAAGAACCACAGCCGCTTATTGTCATTCACCTGTGCAACGCCGCGACAAGTCGTAGAAATTAAAAACCCCGAGGCTGAACAGCGCGAAGCCGCCACCTGTCCCATGCAAGTTTTCGAAAATGGAGACCTGTGCTAGATCGCCGTAGAGGTGCTATGAGGCTATTGAGCAAATATAAGTAGCAAAAAAACTCAAAACGCGCTGTGCATTTACCAAGCAACGTTAGAGCAGTGGGGGTAAAGGTGCTGTGTAATCGGGTACAGTAGGGTGGCGGGCTTGGTGGTGGAGCTAGTAAACACATAATAGCTGACGAAGTCGCATACGTCAGCCATCGCAGTCGCGGTGGTTCAGTGTAAAGTTCGACGCGATCCTCGATCCGACGTTATGCTGATTCCTCGCTTGATCGCTTCATCAGACTCACCACCAACGCCGGTGCGGAGCGAGTTGGAGCAGAACTGTTATGCTGCTCACATAGAAGTGTTGCTTGTCAAGTGCAGGTTGCAGTTTTACTATCTATATTTGTAAATAACCTCATAGACTCCATCGATCTACCCTGGTCTCCGTTCAAAGTTCCAGTTTAAGATGGCAGACTTCCCAGGTAAGGAACAGACTACTTGTACACGGAAGAATGCCTACCAATTGCTTGGGGGTGGGGGGGGGAGTGTGGACTGTCTTTAACTAAAGCTACTCCTTTGAAAACGACCCCAGCACATTGGCCTCATTGAAGAATGTTTGAGAAGCGGACCAAAAAACGTTCATCACAAAGCTCACTCAACAAGTAAAAAGGGATAAAAGGCTGAAGAACTCACCTCCCTTCCAACAGAAACTCTCGAATTTGGTTATCGCTTCTGTATACGAGAGAAAGTGGCAGGCCAGTGACTAGAGCCAACCAGATAGAAAGAGCGCTAGTCGAATATAATTCGCTGAACACTGGGGCACCAAAAAGAACACAAAGAACGTAGAAAAAAGCGAACAGTTGTAGCAGGCTCAGAATCGTTGCCGAAAAGGCCCAATGAGGTAACCCACCTAAAATACATTACTCAGGGATAATGAGTACATCTACTGAGAAAATTTTTTGTAGTATTTTCCAGGCGATCACAACGCCTGGGAATGAACAACGACAAAATACGGTTGAAATCAATATTTATGCAAACTTAACAATAACTTTCAACAATAAAACACGTACATAAAAACAGTGAAACAAATTTCGAATTCAAACAGAAAACTGATTCTTAAATTCCGCTCTCTCAATTCACAGTTATTAACATCCTAGATTCAGCGAATCTGAACGTATTGAGACGCTAAAAATTCTAAATTCAACACAGATCATGAAAGATTTACTGAAACAGACAACGATTAAAAATCGTAAATCTAAAACGACACCTGTTTTATAGCGAATATATTCAGGAATCCTCACGGGTAAAGTAAAATTTAGTGCTTCAACAAATATTTCTCCAGGTACTTGCTTAACTCAACGACTCAGATTTACCTCAAAAGAACCTCAAAAAAATCATCGCTAGACTCTGAGAGTAGACACTGTGCGCGTACCTTCGAAGGGTTACAGGACTTCTGTCAACCAACGCTGGATGGTCCAGAGGTATGTTGCGATCGCATTTATCGGTCGAGCATTTGAAGGGAAAAGGGAAAGAAAGAGAGGAAAGAGAGGAAGGGGGGGGGAAAGAAGGAGTAGGAAGAAGTGGAAGGAGTGAGGTTTCCCAGTTGACAAGTATCCTGAGACACCTTCGAAGTCAATCAACCATGGTCACGATGGACCTGTCTACAACTACTGAAAAAAAACCACTTTGGCTAATTGACGGTGCGCTTTGGCGGCTTACTATAGCTGGATGTCCTTTTGAACCTCATCCTACCACCAAAGCACGCCACAAACACGCAACACGCCACACGGCGTGACGCCATTGCTCTCCACCGCTCTTTCGCACACTGTGGACAGCGGGCGGAGAAATAAAGGAACCTCTGGCTATCACATCCCTTCAGCTCCACTATCGCGTACTTACAAGTGACGAAAGGGCACTATGCCACAGCAGGTCTATCCACTTCGTTCTTAGAAGAAATCAAATTCGCAGTTTGGCGTACAGTATGCATTCAAGTGCGCTTAGAATCAACTTTGGACCCGCCGATACAAGGTGGCATCTCTTACTACCTCGCTCTGTAAAAGTAAACTTACTGGATCGGGTTAATGTAGTGCGCATGGGAAGGTGCTTTCTGGGAAAATCTTAAAACCGAAATTACTGCCAGTACTTGACAGAAGGGTGGTCTCAAGGCTGTCAGGCGAAAATGGACTGTGCTGTTCATAGAAGAGCAAGCGAACTAGTGAGACTTTCCTAGAGTCACGTTAACTTGTTCATAGCTTATGCAGACCCTTTAAGAATAAATTATCGATCAGAAAAATATCAACGATCTCAGTAGGGACAAGTTGAAAAGATACTGAGGAGGACCGCATGCGGTGTTGTTTGCTGCGAATGATGATGAGTGTCAGGAGGGATGGAACTGGCGGACCCCAAATGGTTACAAGGGATCTGCTAACCGGATGCTCTCTCACGGCCAGGGTCCAGGTGTTTTACCATCGCATCTTTTGTTCCAGCATTTAGAGGAAGGGAAATAAGGAAGCTTGTCAGCATTTAGAGGAAGGGAAATAAGGAAAAGGGGGTGACAGAAGAAATGAAGAAGAAAAATGAGGAGGGGAAAAGGAAGGTATCGTGGTTGACAGATACCGAAACTGAGACCGGCGCCAAACCCGTTCTCTAGTTGCTGAAGCGGGTAAGGGTCAATAAAAGGTGAAACGGCTAATATGAACGACATGTAGTCTTGTCGCTTGCTTGCATCAACAGCTAGCGCAGAAAGCGTTTGGCATTGCGCCAAAGTCTACCTTCTAAGAGCCCCCATCGTCCACTAAGAACAAGACTGTAGAACCGGGTACCGGAAGTTGGCACATGCTGCACAAGCGCGAACACGCCCGATTTCATCCCGGCTGTTGAACTCTTTCGCGCTAAGGAGATGACATAATGACAATCCACCCGTTTTCGATGACAGTCGAACAGCTGAGCTCATCTACATAACTCATTAACAACAAGTAACAACCAGATAATTTCAATAATGTAACTCTAGTAATAAGTGGGACAAACACGCTACACTTTTAACCGAAACTCGGGTTTCATGAAAATAGGCTCTCCAGGGCTGTAATCAGAGGGTTCCGGCAGCTTCTGATGCAGTTTGAACATACCGGTTCCTATCGATATTGGTATACCAAGAATGATACACTCCGAAACGCCATGAATCTTGAAAATAAGAGTAAACACTCAGGGAAGCATAGGAACTGGAAACAGGGAACGTCTCATGGACAAAAAATTACAGAACAACTTACAGGATCCTTTTGCGAAAAGAAAGCAGCTTCAAACAGATGGTCCATAGTTTTCTCGAACGAACGCAAGCAGGAGGACCGACTCTTTCATTTTCACCAAGCCGTTCCTTGTGATACCAAGTACCTCACCACTAAAATGCAGACTCAAAATACACAAGTAGAAAAAAAAGTAAGTAGTGCATGATATTTCGAGCAAGACTTACCGATATGTCATAACATCAGCCAGTAACATCACATGCCGTCTATCAAGCCCAATGCCGTGAGCTTCCATAGTTCCGATAATTTCATTGATAATGCACGTTCGCGCTGCTTCGATTCCAAGAACCTGCAAAATAACGAAATCACGAAGCGTCATTTTTGAGACATGCATGGGGAAAATCTGAGTAACTAATGTTTATACGAAAAGCTGCACAACTTCCGCACAGGCAAGAGAAGCAGCCAGCAGATCACAGTATGAAGAGCCCAATTAGAAGCAAAGAAAAAAATATTGGGGAAAGGAGTACACTCCAAAGCACAGATGATCCGTTTCGCCCGTTATCGCAGACGAATCATCGATGTCTTACCAACCCCCGGGCTCATCAGTGCGACAGGGTTGACGACATGGACATGGACACAAGACAGATTCCAGAGGCCGGTGAAGAACGCAGCCAAACTCCGCACCCGGCTGTGTCCCCCGCGCGCGCAAATTTGAATACAATTTGTAGTTTGAATTATCTTCCCGCGTGCGCTAATTTGAACATCAAACAGCTGTGCGGCGCGCGTAAGCTGGCGCCATTGTTTTCACAGCTCGACTGCGTGTCATTGCGTACAACGCAGTGCTATAGTAACCTCATGCCTAGTTTTCTAGTACTTATCGTGGGAGATTTGAAAGTAGCGTCTTTATCTGAGCGCAATAGCGAAGAGGTTAAGATGCCTTCCGCATCGTAAAAAAGAAACCATCGAGAGGACCGTGCTCGAGCATAGATATCAGTGGGACAGTCTATCTTCCCTGACCGCTTGTCTCCTTATCACAGGCTTGATTCGCCTGAAAAGGGTGCACTGTTTAGTGAAGGCTATCCCTAAATAACTAAGGGCACGGAAGGGTCAGGATAGCGGACATTCTATGTGTCTAGTCTACGAGTATAAGTGAAAAGATTGCGGTTGTGCGACAGGCTACTTGCACGCACTGCGACTGCGCCATGGCTAGTGTTTCATTGCAACTGCTTATTTTAGTGGAGCGGGACTTTAATAAAAGAGCGTATCATAAAACAAAAGACATACTCTAGGATAAAATTTTCGAGTTACGAAGGTAGAGGTACAGACAACGCGAAGTTCTGCAAGTCTCCCGAGAGGCCAGGTCACCAGCAACACGGAGACAGTATATATTTCGTGAGAATGGTGAACACGTTCAATGAACTTACAAGGATCCTTTATCATCGTTTTGCCCAACTCACTTTCTGAACAAGCGCATTTTGACGGGTGCTCTACTGTTATGATTTCGGCGAGCGACGAATAGCGTGCAGCTGGATACGGAAGACTTGCCACGCTCCTCAAGCAATATAAAACGTGAAGAAACCGTGGGAGCAAGATAACAAGAGATCGTTGTGGATGTGGTAGTCTTCTTCTAGTGATAGATCCTTGTGTTGTTGAAGAGGTTCCGTGGAAGTTGAGCGACGGCGAGCGGGCGGATGAACGGCAGCGAGAAGTTGAACGGCGGTGAGGATGGCAGGGATGAGTCGAACGGCAGTGAGGGTGGCGTGGAGGAACAGGGTGGCAGTAGCAGCGAAACAACTATTCGCAACTACCACAATGTTTCAGAATGAAAACTGAGCTTACAATATAGCTTCTTTTTTCTATTCATTCAGTTGTTTCAGTATTAATAACATGTCCTTCTGGGCACTATACGGGCCAATGACTCGAAGGACCCTCAGAATAATTCTGAAGGGTAAAGGCTCTTTAATCAGGCTACGCCTAAGGATATATGTTGGGCGATGATGAAGGCGATGAAGGTCATGCAGTAATAGCTATCGCATTGTGTAGTCAGCACTCTATTATTGTTTTCTTACATACGCTATGTTTTGACTCGTTTTTTTAAGTTCTGACAATAAGCAATGTTGAATACGTCTTAATTGACCGTATCACATGCTGGGGTTCTCAGTATGAGCTTGTTTTCCTCTCATATAGTTGACACAGTGAGAAAGTGCCTTCCACAAATATCTGAGAACAGTTGAAATGACGGAGTTTACTAGGGAAATTAAATAGAGGATTAGCACTGGGCCACCCAAGTAAGTCAAGGCTGCTAAACCAAGTATTGAACTGAGAGCAGCTAACGTCAACTTCCAGTGGTTTGTAATGGTATTTAATAAAGGTTCAATATTAGGTAAACTAATATCATTGAACCACTGGTTTTTAGAGGTACTCCATGAGCTTTGATGTCAAATAGTGAGGTGTCTTGTGGATCAAGGTGGTAGTGTAAGGTGCCATTTAACAGGAATTTCGTAGGCCTATCAGAGCAATGAGCGTTGCATTGCTCATGTACTGTGGGATGATTAAAGGCAATTCCCGCGACCACAGCTCATAGGTAATACGGTTCAAAAATAGAACTGCCGTGTGTTTGTTGACTTATTGAAGGAGAAGGAAGCACGAAAAAGCGCCCGGAATAAGACCCTCTTTATTTCAATTGATCGATCACCGGACGAGCGTAAGGTGGTCAAGATCAATTGTGAATTGCGAAAGGCGGCGATACACTGATAAGAGACGAGAGAGGCCAGAAAACGACGGGCGAGAGAGCGCAATGGCAGTCTCACAACGACACGGTCACTGGAGGCCGGCATGGGCCTATCGGGCGCCAATGGGCCTAAAACCTGAGCGCGCTGCGTTTTGCTTGCTGTTTTTCAACTTTTAAAAGCAGCATAGCCTCTGACGTTGCCTGCTTGACCGTCGTGCACGGTTATGAGAACCTAGCCTTAGTTTATCGCGGAACGTGCCTTTAAAGTGGAGAATAACCACATTCTCTTCATCTGAAGACCGCATTTAACCAAAAATTGCTGAGATCTTGGCAAGTGACTGTTACCAGTAGCCTCAACTAATGACTTACAAATGGCTGTGAAAGGCGCTCCTAGTGTGCAGTCACAGCAGCCTGTTAGCTGGAGATCTTAAAGCCGCACTCTTGATTGGTAGTCAGTTCGGCTACCACATCTTGTAGTATCTTTGACTCAATTCGTAGTGCCATTTCCTCCTCGTTGGACGAAGCAACGATATCCCCGTCACGGACCATGATAGTTGCGTGAGGAGTTTTCAGAGGCAATATATTTTGTGGGTTATCACAAATTTTATGGAACGAATCGTCTGGGCATTGACAACTATAAGGTGAATTCCCACAACTGCACTGGATTCTGTTAGAACAGTTAGCAATATCTTCTAGTGCTTGTGTTGGTGTATTACATGCTACCGGAAGTTGGAAGTTATGCGGCAAGAGATATGCTTTATCCTTGGAAACTGCGAAGCGCTTATTTTCTAGCGAATAAAGTGGCCTTTGAATTGATGTCACTGTGATATTAAAATTGCTAGAGTTACCAACGATATAGGGGATGAATGATCGTTCGACTTTTTCTGTTCGGTTAGCTATTGTTATTTCAATGTCTAGTTTTACTGTCGTCGTCCAATGGGGACATTGTACGATTTCGAATATTCGGTCGGATACTGGCCTGTGGGCGATTTTATAAAACCAGCAGCTAGGTAAGGGCAGAAAGCATCCACAAAACATACCCCCACAGCTGTTCATACAGCCGGAGTAGCCGGGATATTTCGCACGGCGTCTTAATTCGGGTACCGTTTCATTTTGAAGAAGGGTGTCGCATTTATTCTCCGAGCATGATCCTGCATTAGCGCAGCGTTTCGCGTCCCTCTGGCAGAACAGACACCCTTCACTATTAAGGTCGTGGACTGATATACTTCTCCCTTTGAGTGTTGACCTTGTTTCTGATTGCGTGGTCGTATCTGGGCTCGATTGCCTGGCCAAGTCTGTTATCGACGTAGCTCTTTGCGGCAACCTCTTTCTTCAGTTGACCCATGAGGTTTTCGATTGTTTGTTGTGGCATCGCTTGGCCAGATATGAGGACAGGCTTGACGATGTTTCTTGGAAATTTGGACAGAATGATTCGCACGGATCACAGGTTTTTCTGACATCTCGTTAACTAGAACTTGGATTTGTGCCAAGACAGCGGAACAGCTGCCTGCAAAATTGTTCGCCCCCTTCATACTAACAAGTTTTTGTACAATTTGCGATCTATTTACTGAATAATCGCAGTAGGTCTCCTTAAGGGTCTTGATTATCCAGTCATAGTTTCTGTGGTAAAGGCTGAATTCCTTGGATAGCTGATCTAGCTCTCCCTCTAAGACTTTCTCTCAACAGGATAATTTTTTCCACAACATCTAGTTCATCATTTTTATGTACTAGTGTCTCAAATATTGCCCAATACTCGGGAAATTCTTCCGCCTTACCGAAAAATTTGGGAAGGGTTGCGTGGGGAGGATTTATAGTGCCTTAACAGACCCATTGGAGTGATTTGAGCGTGTTGGTTCTTTGCTCTCCTTCACCATTATTCGAGTTAGTACCGTTAACTTCGCTACTGTGGGTATTTTGCTCAGAGTCGTCTTCTTGACCGCTTTGAAACTCTGACTCATGCGGTACTGGTTCGTTTCTACTTGAGTTGTGAGTAATATACCCTAGTTTGATGCCTATTCTGTTGTATGCGCATCTTGATTCATCTAACCGAGCTGTGAGCATGAATATCAAGTCACTTGAATCAGCAATCGCTTGCTGTAGTTGTGATTCTTCTTCAATTTGCTCGATTTCGAGCATTAAGTCTTTTTATCTGATTGTTTACAGTTTTGCATCTCTCCCTGCCTTAATGTACTGCGACTGCTGGTTCATCAAACGATAACACTCATCCATTTCGGATTGTGTTGATGTTACGATAAAGCAGTCATCGATGTACCTGCAGTACATTAAGGGTAATCGTTCCAGTACTGGCTCTTCTATTCTGCTCATGAAGCAGACTGCAAGTACTGGTGCTAAGCGTTGACCCATCGCGAGACCTCTCGTTTGAGCATAATAGGCTCCTGACCATTTAAAGATGTTACATTCTAAGCATGCCTTGATTAGAGTCATGATGTGCGCTTTATCTAATCCAAAGGTCTCTATGCTTCCAACATGCCTGTCCAACATTTCAGACAAGGCCTGTAGAGCTTGTTCGTTTTGGACATTAGTATAAAGCGAAGTGACGTCGAATGACTCCACTACGCAATTGGATGTTAACCGCACATTGCGTAACTGTTCAAGGAACTTAGTCGTGTTGGTCAGGTGAGAGGGAACTCTGGTCAACAACTTGCCCACGATGCAATTGAGAAACCATGAAATTCGATCGGTTGGTCCACCGACGCAGCTAATGATAGGTCGAATCTTGAAAGTTTCCGGTGACGTTGACAGCATCTCACTAGGAGCAAGTTTGTGGGTCTTTACAAGGCTGTAAAAGACAGGGCAATCCGGACTGTCGAGTCTGAGTCTACTGAGAAACTTCTCGTTGAGTCCCGCAGATTGTCCTTGCTGCATCCAAACACTATTGAGACGTCTGCATTGAGAGTGAAATTCTCTCTCTGTCGCTTGACGATACACTGATGAATCCGCCAGGTGGAGTTCCGTGATCTGACGATCAAGGGTTTGTGACATGACCACAAACTCTCCACCTTTATCACTCACAGAGATGCGTATGGTGCCGTTCGATCTTTGCTCACGTAACTCTTTGAAACCTTGCCATTGCTCGTATGTCAAATTGCTGCAGCGGGACCGTCTGTTCTGAGTCAGAACAGACAGAATTCCTGCTGACAGGCTTCTCAATTTGACATCCACTTCTGCTATGGGTTCAGTTTCTTTGTAGAGTGTACGTGGGAACGGCACTGATGGGAGTGATCTCTGAGTTGACGTGGTGGAAATCATGTTATTGTCGCGACGGTGTTTTGAACGCAGTAGATCCCGAAAGCCTTTGTAAACTTCCCACGACTTTGCGGAATGTTGAAGCACCGATGTTTTGTGCAGGTGAGAAAGATGGACCGAGACTGAGAAAGTCCTGATAGCTACTATCCAAGGACGGCACGGTGTGTCTCACTTACTTTACTAACATCTAGTGGAGCGGCGTTGATCCGCTCATGCCGCGGTGGACTGGTGAGTATGTTTTACCTACGGGAGGTTTTTGG